GTACATATAAAACAAAAAACTGAAATAGTTTAAATTCAGATAATATTTTGTGGTTCTACATATGACACAATGGGAAAAATATTTTAAAATATAGTATTAAAAAGCTTAAGATTGATAGATTTTAAGAATTCATAAAAGGTACTTATATTATGCAATATAACCTGACGTTTTTTCCAATATATATTAAATTGCAATTTATCAATGTACAGTCAACAGTCGTTAATTCGGAAACCCATAATCCGGACCTCAAAGCAACAAACTTTCTGCGCATGCGTCGCGTCGCATTGACGCATGCGCAGAAGACCTTTACGGCTGCGAATTTGCGTGTGCGCGTGCGCAAAATACGTTTACGAATGCGCGTTTAATGTATAACGGACGGTATAAGCTAAGCTAAAATTATCTAATTATCTATTTCAGTTAATGTTGCAAATTGCGTTGATCCTTAATCTTCGAATTGGATCCGGCTTATTATTTTTTGCACACTGTTAGAGCAATTTTATAAAAGTAAGCATGAACTTTCGATTATGTCAAATAGAATTTCCGATTTATATTTAGTAATATGGAACGGATCTACAAAGTGAAAGTATGTTTCGGAGTCCATTAAACAAAAAGTGGAATTGCTGCAAAATGGATAAAGGCATATCCTTTGTTTATTTAAAGTTTAACATTTGTTTATCTAAATTTTGTTTATCTTTAACGCCGCGGCGCGCGCAATGAATTGGAAGTTGTTCTGTCAGCACTATCCTTATCTTCAGGGCAGATGTTTTTATTTTATTTGGCATGTAATTGCTTACTAAATGTAGTATTTCATTTCGATGTACTCCGTCTTTGATATGATTTAAATCAAATGCTTCCTCATTATAATTCGCTTCCGATAGCGAAGAAAGTGACAGAGGTTATTGAAAACGAAAAAATTTCGTTTGACAAATTAGTCGGTATTCTCGACACAGGACTTGAACAGCGGAACTTTGTAACTGAACAAGAAATTATGTCTGTTTATAGAATTAAAGAGAATGTATTATCACATAAAAAACGAAGCAACTTAAACAACTTACATTGAAAGAAATGTTTAATAAAGTAAACAAATAAATATTAAGCTTTTTTTTTTGTAAATTTTGATACACTTTAGATCATAATTGTTCTTTATTTCGTAAATTATGGTTTCATATTTTTAATTTTATAATTTCTTCATGCCATTTTACCAGATTTAAACTGATGATCTATAATCCGGAAAAATCGATAATCCGGAATCGCCGAAGTTCCGACGAGTCCGGATTAACGACTTTTGACTGTATATACAATTTTGATTAAAATATCCAGTGGTGAGCTATGAAATTATTAATAAAGAGCTCACACTTTATTTTATAAAAACAAAATAAATTATAATTAAATGTTTTAATTTTTACAGAAACAGAAAATATAAATAATTGTGCATGAAAAAAATTGAAATAAAAAGAGAGAAATTACATAAAATATCAAAAAAATTTCATTATATGCAGAAGTTACTATACACTATTTTCTTGTTTCATCTAAATTGACCTTTTAGATGGTTTTAAGAATCAAGCAGATTTTTCGAGAAGTTTTCACATTCTTCTAAAGGTTTGCTCCATTTAAGATTGTCTTAAATTTAAGTGATACAAAATCTTAAATTTAAGTGAGTCAAAAGAAGATCATATTGTGGAAGTACGGTTTATCGAGCTAAAAGCCTGTTTAGCTTCACTTTATTAATAGCAATAGTCTCCATAATGACTGTAGTTTCCTTTACACTACAGTCAAAAGTCGTTAATCCGGACTCGTCAGGACTTCGGCGATTCCGGATTATCGATTTTTCCGGATTATAGATCGTCAGTTTAAATCTCGCAAGATGGCATGCAGAAATTCTAAAATTAAAAATATGAAACCGTAATTTATGAAATAAAGAACAATTATGATCTAAAGGGTATCAAAATTTACAAAAAAAGAAAAAAAAAAAGCTTAATATTTATTTACTTTATTAAAAATTTCTTTCGATGTAAGTTGTTTAAGTTGCTTCATTTTATGTGATAATACTTTCTTTTTAATTCTATAAGCAGACATAATTTCTTGTTCAGTTACAAAGTTCCGCTGTTCAAGTCCCGTTAATTGCTGTGCCGAGAATACCGACTAACTTGTCAATCGAAATTTTTTCGTTTTCACTAACCTCTCTGTCACATTCTTCATGTCTTTATCCCTTTTTTGCAGCAATTCCACTTTTTGTTTGTTGGACATCGAAACATACTTTCGTTTTGTAGATCCTTTGGAAGTTCCAGCATCGGAAATTTTATTTGACACAATCGAAATTTCAAGTTTACTTTTATAAAATCGCTCTTATAGTCTGCAAAAAATAATAAGCGGGATCCAATTCGAAGATTAAGGAACAACGCAATCATTAACATTAACTGAAATAGATAATTAGATAATTTTAGCTTACATCGTCCGTTATACATTAAACGCGCAGGCGAAAACGTATTCTGCACTTGCGCACACGCATATGCGCAGTAGTCAAAATCTTACGCGCACGCGTAAAACACCTGTGCGCATGTGCCAACGCGGCGCATGCGCAGAAAGATTTCAGCTTTTAAGTCCGGATTATGGGTGTCCGAATTAACGACTTTTGAGTGTATTAGGAATTTCATAATGCAGTTTTCATGTTAAAACCATCTCACTGAAAACCTACAAATAATTTATTTTTATTCATATTTTTAACATAAAATTTAATGTTTGTTAAAGTATGTTTACAAATGTAAGACATGTGTTTTTCTTGGAATAAATAATAAGCAAAGAAAAAGAACACGGGTTTGCAATTTCAAAACAAATTTAACAAACACTCATGTAAACCTCCTACAGTTCACCTCTGAAGATATCATAATGGACATTTTGTACCTAATTTAACACTGCAAAAACCTAATATTACTATTAACAAAACTGGGCTAAATAGATTTTACTTGTGTATATCAGAGCTGCTTTCAGCTCAAAGCAATTGCCCAGTAGGCTCCCTTCCATTTTAGAATTAATGGAAATGGAAAAGCTAATGAGAGCATTAGTTTCTATTTTCTAAAGCTTTCAAACATTTAATTTGTAGATTTTTCATACAGAATCATTGCAAACATGTAATCGAAAAACTTAGAATGCTCTTTGAATGAATCAACTTGTAATCCCAGATTTCTGAAAACATATAGTTGTCCCAAAATTCAAAATTTTGACAGGCCATGAATTTAAAGTTTAAAATAAATCAAAAAGACCGATGCAGAGTTTGAATAATTCTTATCAATTTCTAAGGTTATCTGATATAAATATGTGCTTTTAAATCTGAAAATAAAAATCTTTTTTCCATTTCTTTCCCTCCTTGAATGTTAGCAATATGTTTCACAGAAGATTCATAAGTATGTTTTACAGAAATATAAATTCTAATAGTATTAGAAGTCTATAACTTTAAAATATTTACCTACAAATATTTGATACTTGTGTATTTGGTTATATGATATCTATTCCCATACTGCTTGATACAGTACTCTGACTGATCTACTTTTGGAATACCTACAAGATAGTACATAACAACACAAATAATTTGTTCATCATTTGACATTTTATGGGAATCATCAGACCAGATAAGCTAAGCAAAATGTGCCGAAACTGAGGCCTGTTTCGAGAGCAAAGACAAATAGTCTACAAAAAAGGCATCAAAATGCTAGAAGAGCATTGGGATGAATGTATGACTCTTGAAGGAGAGTATGTTGATGAAAAAAGTTGAAATTCTTTAAAAAATATATATATATATATAAAGAAAATCTGAAAAGGTTTCAAATTTTAAATTACATCCAAAAGGTTTTTTTTTTTTTTTTTTTTTTAAACATTTTGTGTGTTACCTTTATTTATTAAATATCAAGTTCTCACTTTTAAACCATAAAATTCAGTTCAACAACAATATTGCAAAATAATTTTAAACTGAGCATATCTTTAGAATTTCCGATACGCAGTCTCACACGCTGGAGAGAAAAATGTTTTTTTTTTTTTTTTTTTTTTTTTTTTTTTTTTTTTTTTTTTTCCTGTACAATGTTGTCATCGCTCACTTTGAAATCCTTGAATTTGTTAATCAAAAATTGCTTAAATTTTACAAAATATGAAATCAATAATAAAACAAATTCCAAATTTGGGCTTTCAGATGGCCATATTCGCAGTAGGATTACGTTATTCGAACTGGATGGCTCTAGGTACCGTTGTTTTATCACAATGCGAGAAACACATACACATTTATACAGATTTTTCATTATTTAATTTCTTCAAATATAATACAGGGCGATAGTATTTGGTGGCAATGATCTGAAAAGTGATACAGACTTTTAAAATTTTCAACACAAAATCCCAAAACGGAAACAATAGTCCTTCAGGAACAAAGCCCCTTTGGACTAAAAAAAAATTTTTTTTTTCTTAGCTAGACTGGAAACTTATTGAGTGATAAATTTTGCTTGTGTAAACAATACTCAGGTCTTTCAAAAGTGAAATACTTAGAGTTTTCAAACCATTCATTTCATATTGTTAGATGATGATGATGTATTTTATTTCCATAGATTATAATTCACAATTAAAATAATTTCTGTTTTAAGCAAATTTATTTTTAAACAACATATATAAATTACATAATTTTGTAAAATTATCACAATACTTTCTCACTTGAAGAACTGAATACACGTGGCTTCAATTTGAGTTTAAATTCAGACTGATACTTCACAAAAGCAATAATAAATCAAGTATTTGGAAAATAAACATATTAATTACAAGTGGTTAGTACTACCAATTTAAAGATAGTACTCACATTGTAAAAACTAAATTTTCATTACAATAAAATTAAAAGACACAGTGATGGTGTCATGTTTGCATGCCACGAATTGCATATTTCAGACAACATGGATTACATAAATACTTGATTTTTTTTTTTTTTTTTTTTTTTTTTGTTTTTTGTTTTTTTCTTCTTCTTCTTCTTCTTTTTTTTTTTTTTTTTTTTTTTTTTTTTTTTTGTATGTACAGCAATACTACAATTACATAATTTTAACAGAAAATGTTTGACTAGATTGCAACACACTGAAGATATTCAAGTTTGTTCTTCGAACGAGGACACAAGGGCTGACAAACCATTTTCTTAAGAAGTTCTGTTATGTTTGCGACGCCATCAAATCCTGCAAGATAAAAATTATACAATTTTTACTCAACTTATGAATATAGTAAATTTTCAGTCAAATGAGTAGGGAAGTTGTACTAAGAGCTTATATCAAATCAATGTTAATTTCATAAAAGCCAATGCATTAAAATGCGATATAATACTTCTTACATCATACTATATACACATATTTCAATAACATAGCATGCATATAAACAACAGAAATATATTTAAAAGTATATATAGTGTTATTCCCATAAACACTGGGCACTTAACCATGAATGCTTGTACTTCACATTCACTTTTGAATTCAAGCAAAATATTGATTTTCATAAAATTCAACATCTTAAATTTATAGCAATTTTTTCTTATGCTTTGATTGTAAAAGCATATGAATTTTAAAATTGAGATTATTTTGCATTTTCTATAAATAATAACATAGATCTTGAATCTCAGGAAATTTTTTGCTTTACATTACATATTTTTGGGCATATTCTGCTATTTTTTAAAATAAATTTTGAATTTATGTGGTTAATTTATTTTAAAATTATGTGGCATGTGCTAAGAATTTATCCTCCTACTATTTTTCAGATGTTGTTTCAAAACTTCAAAATGTACTTCAGGGCTGGTTTTTTTACAGTTCATGCAACGAGAAAGCTACTGAGATGACTGAAGGATAAAGAGGGATAGATTTTCAGAAAAAAAGACATGTAAAGACATATTCTGGCATTAAAAAGAGACAAGAAAAGGGGGCTAAAGAACACAGAAATTTTCTTTTAATGTATTCAAAATTTCCATTCAAGCACCTTTCATACTGAATATGCACAGAAGATTATGGCAAAATAGATACAGGAATTTAATTTACGGAAATCCTTACTTTATTTACTTTTTCTCTCATTTAAGAACATTAAAAATTACTTTGAGAGTGATTTTGCTAATGAATTACACTTTTTTTAACAACTTTTCTTTGTCTTTCCCACCCTTTTTTTTTTTTTTAGTTCTTTGCTTCCTTAAAAAGTTTTCTCTTTCCACCTTAGTTTCCTTTGTACTGACATTTTCTTTGCATGTAAGATTTTTATATTCAATAAATCTCGATTAAGTAATTCTTGAGTATGTTTTCGTTAGTTATTTACAGTGCCCTTTTATATTAACAAAGAGATCAGTACAAAACACAAGAAAATAAAAACATAAAACAAAGTTTAAGAGCTAAAATTGTCCACTATAATTATTATTTGACAGCCATTAACGGCTTTACTTTTGAATTAAAGTTTCAAACACAAGTTCTGTTTCACCCTTGACAAGTTCTGTTTGAAGGGGTTAATATTATGTTTTTCTTTTGCCCACTTATTTTGTCAATTCTTTTTTTTTTTTTTCTTTCAATGTTACAAGTGTATTTTTCACTGTGGTCTTGATGAATTTTCATTTTAATTTTAGTACACTAAATAGCTTATGTCTCTACAGTCGCGCCTGAACTAAAAGATGATGGATGACGATTCTCCATCACCACGATTTGGCGATCGGGTCCCCTAATCCCCAGTTGCCCTTTAAAAGAGGGAGTATAATAAGGTATTTCTCCTGCCTTCTTTGTGTAGGGGTGAGCAGACTCAGCTCATATTTGAGAGGTCCGTGGTTTTTGAGTCCCAGCGAGGGCATTGCTTATTTTACATCTCTGTTGCTTCCAAAAAAATGCCTAATGTCTCTACACAATTTCTAGTTGTTCCAGTTAATGTTTCCTGTACAATAGGATTACTAAAAACTATGTCATCACACTTTCCCTTAGATATGATAATCAGGATTCCCTTTTACCTTTGACCTTGAAACTGATTATTTTTTCCTTTCAACCCTTGACCTCGAAATTGAAGGAATGTCAGATTTCCAACTGATTAACATGTAGACATAATGATATTCCTCTCAACGCTACAACTACTCAAGAGCAGGCACTATGAAAAACATTTAACTACATTTACTCTATTACATGTAATACATGAAATCTAGTTTACACAAGGCAAACTAAGAATAATCTTAACATTAGAATAAATAATAATTGATTTTTAAATTTAATTAAAGTTTTATACTGAATGATTTTCTTTATTTCCATTTTTGTTTTAAAAGAATCAGAATTTACTTAAACTCCTTTTAATTAGTAAATTAATATTTTTATTTTGCCAAAATTAAAATTTTATTAGAAGTATTAGTTTTTCTTTTGGTTTCAAAATTCCATCTATTGTTCCAATTTTTAGCCTTTTGAGAGATTACTTTCTTGCCAAGGTATTTTAGTTTCGCCAATGAAGCCAAAATGACAAACCTATACGTTACTACTTTAACAATCTTCATAATTTCGATTGTGTCCTAATGAAAGTACTCAAAGTGTTTAATTGCTTCTTGTGAGTTTAAATTAAGTCTTTTCACTAAAATTTTATAATTTCACTTACATTTTAAATTCTTTAGATTACATGCTAATTGTTAAAAGGAAAAATTTTGATTTGAATCTTTCACTGAAGTATTTTATTATTTTCCTTACGTTTTCATTCTTTAACTAGAATTCTCTAGATTAGATTCTAATTAGATTAATGTATTTTCCTTGATTTGAGGAGTGGCCAAAATTTTTGGATGAAGTATTATAATTAAAATACATGAAATGGTTCATTGGCTAATTGTGGATAAAGGAAAGCAAGTATTTTTGTAGAAAAGATATATTTCAATGTTCCTCCTCCTGAGGAAGTGGCATTGAAGTTGATTGAATTCCTCTTCTATTGTATTTGTATTTCTTAAAATTTCTTTAATTTGGGGTATTTCTTGTTTGAAAAGTTTTGGTTTTAATATCTTTAAAATTTTTAATTGCATTTATAGGATTATTTGAAATTTATTAATTATGAATTTCAATTTTTGGTCTTTGTGAAAAATTAGTTCTAAATTTCTTACTTTATGCCTTTACTTATTACATTACACTAGTTATCATAAATATGGAAAAATCACAAAAATCACGATTACTGAAAAAGTTACATGTAGAATTTAATGAAACTTACCCACAATATACAACACATAGTAAGGTATCAAATAACATAAAAGGAAATTACCAGACAAATATGGTAGTATAGAAATTAGCACATGTATAAAATGAACAAATCGAAGGTGTCAGTTTGATATAGGAAAAGTACCTTCCAATATGGAATATGATTGCCTCTAGAAGCAATATAGCACACACAGTGATGTGTGATGCTTTCAATTACACAGTCTATCAGTTCCATAGGAAGGCGAGAGCCATTGCTCTTGCAAAGCAGTTGCAAGCGCGACAAGAGTCTGAGGCAGCGGATTGAGAGCAGCTAGACATCTCCCTAAAGCATCCCAAACGTGCTAGATTGGATTCAAGTCCGGGGATTGGGCTGGCCACTCGATGCGCATAATTGTTTCCTGTTGAAAATAATCATCTATGATGCGAGTCCTGTGTGGTCTTGCGTTGTCGTCCTGTAACAGGAAGCATCCCCAATAGCCCCGGCATGTGGGCGCACATCAACATCAAGGATCATCTCTGCAAACCTGAGCATTCACGGTTCCCCTTGGAAAGACATGGAGGTCTGTGCGGCCATCATAGAGATGCCACCCTAAACAGAGACACTGCCTCTTCCATATGCATCTCTTTGATGGATGATAACGGGCTCCAGATTCTCTCCATATCAAAAAAATGCTTGCTATAGCTTTCTTGACTAAACCTGGACTCATCTGTAAAGAGAACAGCCCTCCAATGATCAGGTGTCCAGAGGACATGTTGTTGTGCCTACTGGAAACGGTCCCTCCTATAGCGTGACGTGAAAGGCACGCAAATGGCTGGTCGCCTCGCATACAGACCACCTTTGTGAAGCCTTTTAAACACAGCTGGCGTTGACACCAACCTTCCGGTGGCTGCAGCAAGGAAGGATCTAAGAAGAATCGGAGTAGCAGTTCTATTCCTGCGTGCACATAATGTCAAATATCGGTCATTGACGCTCGTCGTAGCAGTTGGCCATCCTTGGCTGAACCTTCTAACCTTGGCTGAACTTTGTAACAAGTTCCAAAAGTAAATTCTTACATTTTTGATAACTTTGTAACAAGAAAAGCAGCAGCAGACAGACAGCAGTGCAACAAGGCCAAAGCATAGGAAAAAAGTGCGTAATGTTCAGGATTAAATCTCAAGTCAGACTTAGTTTTGGTTTTCAAAGCATTTTGATTGGACAGTTAATATTGCTGTAAAATTACTATTTGCTGGTTAAGTTTTAGTTCCATTTACATCACTATAATTCCGTAAGAATCACATGACATAGAATAGTGTCGAAATGACGCAGTGCAGCTTACTATTTTTAGAAGAGAAGAGAAATTAATTTACACTGCTAACTTAATCTTATTATTTATTTTTCTTACATATATATATTTAAGGTTCTAGTGGAACTACAGGCAAAGAAAAGCCTCCTTAAAAAACTTCTACTTAAATAACAAAAAACAAACACAATAAAATAAACAAAAAATTGTTTCCCTATAATTTTACGGATCAGTAAAGGATTACATCCAGAGTTTGCATCTCTCATGATGCTTTATTTTAAATGTTATTTTACTCTTATCAAATCTGTAGTAGTATATAGAGGTGAATAATTTTCTTTCTTCCCCCTCCACCCCCCCCAAAAAACAACTAATACAACTATCAAATACTTTCTTGCAGTTCAGTTCTCATAAAATACGAAATGCATACATAAACATAGACAAATACAGTACAAATCATAATTTTACATTTTCATTTATGGTTTCTTTTCTGTTATTTTTAATTATTTTTATAGTTTACCTTTTTTTGTAACATGCTGTACATTTTTTTAAAAGAAATAGAATTATAATACAGAATATTTTTACCTTTGTAAAAGAGAGGAAGGTCTACTGCTTTGCTGTTTTTGCTAGATTATTATATTCTCTTTTAGGAAGAATAAAAATTTCTTTATCTTCATGCCCTTCTCTTTGATGCAAAATATGACATATATACTAGCTGAGAAACTGTAC